AGGAGTTCTACGGCTGTGCAGACATTAAGATTGTCAATTGAAATACCATTGTATGTGTAAAGTACCTGAACAGTTTGACGTCGTTAGATACAGTCCCAACGCAGCTACTATTCAATAACATGTTAAAAAGTGGAAATACATTTCACAATTTTCAAAATAGCCATGTTTATTTATTGAAACTGTAATTGTAATTCTTCTTCTGTAGTCCTGTATTGTCAACGTAAGGTTTTGAAGAGGAATAGGATGAAAGCCTTGGTATGTGCTATGTACGTGCTCATACTTACAGCCTCAGATATTCCCTCTATCCATCGCTTGCATGGCTGACCTCTGGAATGCCTCTATTATGTCTAAGTGATGGGGCTTTCACTCATTGGTGGTGGTCCTGACACGTGTCCAAACCAACTGAACTTTCGTCTGTCTATCTACTTTTACCCCACCAGGACACCACACAAGCGATAAACACCCGATGATACAAAGTGTCATCATGTGGATGAGGATCACCCGTGGAGAGGTCCCAGAAACCGCGTTCAGCCATTAGACCATATTTATGGCCGGGCTATATTGCGGCCCCTGGCAAGAGCCAGAGTAGGGCTTTAAATAACGAAATATTGCATCCCACAAAGGAATGACTGGATAATGAACTTTCGTCTCTTGATGTAGTTTTAATACTGGTTCCGCGTTCCAACTTCTTTCCTTCAGAAAGAAAGGAAGGGAAACAAAAAGAAAGGAAAAAGAGTTCTTTCCTGATAAGTTCATTTCCGATCATGCCTATTCTCGTTACACTTAGGATTCGCAGCTGACATTTCACTGTGTGGATTTTTCTTTTGCCCAGTGAAATCACAAAAAGTTAGTTGCATATACTTTTCAGGACGTTGCAGAACCAACCCCGGCATTTTTTTGGCTGCTCTGCTTTTTTCTAGGCAAGTTTACGTCCAGTAGTTTACCCTTGCTTCCTGGACGGTCGGCTTCTCGATATCACTGTCGAATCCAATGCAAGGTCCAAGGCCCGCAGCTGGGATCGAACCCGGCACCCTGGGATTACAAAGGGCGTTCGTTACAAAGAGCCATACAATACTGGTGTTAGTTCTGCACCGTCCTGTAAAGGACATATTTTTGTTTTTGTTTTTTCCTTCTGTTCAGAAATGTTTAATGCTCACATCTTTGAGGACATCAACGCACAGCGGTCTGCTACCTAATTGGTAGCAGTTAAGACAATAAAAACTTGAGCACTACATAAATTAACAAATGAAACAAATGTAAACCTAAGAATTATTTATTCGTAAGGGTAACACAAGACAGGCAATCATGGCAACACACTCTAAAAGCCGTCTAGAAAACTACGAGAAAAAACACAAATCTATGGGCCAAAATCAATTGATCATCTCCGGAAACGCTCTTAGTCGATGCTGGCAACATTACCTGCAATCAAAAAAGATAAACACACATTGAGTGACCTCTGGTAACATTGTCTGTAGCAGATCAAGTTTATCACTAACAGCTGTAATGAGGTGAATTCCCAGGGAAAGCCCAGTGAGTTTACTAACTGAGGGGACAAGGTCAGAGGGTCAGGGAAATCCCAGAGAGTTTACCAACTGAGAACCGTTAACAGTAAAGTCTGTAACGGCAAATGTTAACAGTTTAACAGGAAACTCTATATTAGTTGCCAGGTGTTAACAGTAAACTATAGATGTTAGATGGTTAACAATACATTCTATAAGAGCTGACAAGTGTTGACAGTAAACTCTGTAACAGTTGACATGTGTTAGCAATAGATTCTACTACAAAGTGCAGATGTCAGCCAGAAACTCTACAACAGGGGACACGTGGCAGTAGTACACATGGGATCTTTAACACGGAATATATCACATAGTCGGCGTCTGTGACATAGGCGTGGCGAACGCCGGTGGGTGAGTGCCGGGTTCGATCCCTGCTGCTGAAGTTTTCGTCTTGCGATGGTTTCGACTGTGATACCGAGAGCCGACCGTCCAGGGGGCAAACTACTGGACGTAAATTTGCCTAGAAAAACCACAACAGCCAAAAAGGGCTGGGCTTGGTTCTGTAACGTCCTGTAAAAATATCACATTAAATCTATAATACACAATCTGCCAGTTGGGATTCGAAGGTTCAAATCTGAACAGAGCAGGACTTTTTCCTTCTTTAAAAATGATCTTGGCTCTCAGGTGGACTCCGTTTGCATTAAAAGTGTACTAAGTAAAGCGCTGGGAAGTAAAGGCGGTAGGCGTGATTTTGACCACGTCACCCACATAGTGCCGATGGGTCTAAATATATGGGTCTAGCACTATATGCCCAATATGCCTAAGGGCATGGAAAAGGCTCCTGCACTTAACTTAGGATCTTACGATCTTTTACACTAAATATATACCACAAGGTCGAAACGTGGCATCCATATTAAGGAATCTATATTTAGGAATCTATGGCATGGAATCTATATTATGGAATCTATATATACCACAAAATCAATAGCCTCCAATCCATAATAAATTATGTGTGTCAGCATTAGGCTTCTAACAACTAGCATGATTCATTGTACCGTACTGGCAGGTGGTAACATGAGTCAGTACAACAACTAGAGTACAACAACTAGTGTAACAGCAACCTGTACAACAACTAATGTAACAGTAACCTGTACAACAACTAGTGTAACATCAGCCTGTACAACAACTAGTGTAACAGCAGCCTGTACAACAACTAGTGTAACAGCAGCCTGTACAACAACTAATGTAACAGCAGCCTGTACAACAACTAATGTAACAGTAGCCTGTACAACAACTAATGTAACAGTAACCTGTACAACAACTAGTGTAACATCAGCCTGTACAACAACTAGTGTAACAGCAGCCTGTACAACAACTAATGTAACAGCAGCCTGTACAACAACTAGTGTAACAGCAGTAGGTCACGAAGTCAACACAATTTCAATCTGAAATCAGCAGATGCTTCTGTTCTCACCCAGAGAAACGTAGATTATTTTGTTGATAAGAAGTTTGAAGAAGGGAATCGTTGGAGTGTGACCTGGTTAAGTATGAATGATAGTCACGTCCTATATGTTATTGGTAGGCTAGAGTGTACCCAACACCCCGCCCCCCTCCATTCCCCATACCTTGCCTGAAGCATACATCGGCATAAGACATCAATCCTGTGATCTCACCGTATGCAACACGAGGTAACTGAAGAGACCCCATAACTGGACGCAAGGCAAAGAGGAACTTGACACTTCAAAGGTATCAGAGGTGGCAACTAAAACAATTCCACTGTTCTACTTCTCACGTGGTGATCATAAACTATTGTGATCCGGTACAAAGAATCCCTTCTGGTGTTGTGGAACATCAGCTCCTTTTCTTTACTTTGTTTAGTTTTTGTCTCTCTAAGAAACATCTAGGTAACTATAAAAGAATACCTACCAGTCTTTTCTATTCCAGTATGGTCTTTGCTTTCTGTAGCCATATGTCGAGAATGGGTAATCACGGTAATTCTGCTCGTAGCTGTCTTCTCTGTAATCCTGAAATATTCAGACAACCAATTAACATAAACAGAAAATAGCATTAGGCAGCTTTTTACAATTCGTAAACGATTAAAAATAGGCGTTACATGAAAAATGTAGTTTTCAGCAGACACAAAATAAACAGACAAGAATACGATTATATTTAGGAGGAAATAAAAACTGCATTTCGCTCGAAAACTTGGACACTTGGACTTTCGCCTCAGAACACAAATGTAAACTTTTTATCCTACTCACTAGCAGACAGACAAAATATCCAAGACAGACATCGTGATAGATATAAATTTGAACTAGACAAACATCTATATTCAGTACTTAGCTGAATTATAACATATTTAACACTTATGAAACCATATAAGAGGGAAACATTAAAAACATGCAATCAACAGGAAGACAACGATACAAAATAGAGAGGAGCAACACGAGAAGGATGTACAGCAGTCTCAAAGAGTAAGAATGAGGCTGGGAGACAGCAGGTGATGGAAATCCACTATAGCCAACCTTTACTGTGAAGATGGCACTGTGGAGATTGATATGAGGGAAAACAAACTCAAAGAGGAATAAAGCAACACAAGAGCACACAATCTCTTACATGTTTCTTGTGTTCAAAGAAGTGGTCAAACTTCTGAAGCAGATCATCCTTTCCAGCCCATAGAGCATCTGAGCCTTTCAGCTGGGACACCTTCCTGAGAGAAGCGGCAAACTCGTCAAGTTTCTCTTTGCTGAAAGGAAAACAGACATGAATCTAGTTATCACAAACAACAGATTTCTAGCTAGGGATTATTTTAAAATTTAAAATTAACGCTTCTTCCATTGCAGATTATGTTTGGTCAACATAATCGTTGTCTCTTCTGCGCTGACGGCCGAAGATTGTCAAGAGTGACTCGGTTGACGTCTATTCAAACTGCTTCCCTTGATCTTCCTTGTTTTTAAGACGAGCACCCTCCACTGTTCTACTTCTCACGAGGTGATCAAAAAACATTGACTGCATCTTGTTGATGCCAGTAAATACTCTTAGTTCTTTTTGGAAATGAATAAGCACACTTTACAACGCTTTTTATATGTATTCTCAACATTCATCTAAAGCTGTTTCTATTATAACTACCAACGATTGTTCTCATTCTTCTTAGTGTACTCTAGCAGGAATTTCTTGTTGTTCGTACATTTTTGGGCTTTGTTCTTATTCTAAAATGTGTGTGTTGCGTGCAAATCAGTTTTACAAATCTGGATGACTTGTATGCACACTGTTGGTTCCACGCTTTGCAGACAGACGCAGTTCAACATCGAAGAAAACATCTCTAATTAGCCGCCTTTTACGACATGCTTCTTAGCGATGCAGGGTGTCTGCTCTGTTTTCTCTTACATGGGGCCCGAAACTGAGACGGAGAATCCTGGATTCATTGAATTATACCAAGACTGGACTTAATATAGCTCCTCTTTCTGACCCCAGTTGACAAAGACAGGATGCATATACTCAATGTTAGCGCATTTAATAACAACAGGCTCGAATACTCACTGATCCCTAACTTCTCGCCACTTCTGGAACTTGTAAAAGGCGCTGTTTGTTCTGACATTGTCCTCCTGGTGTGTGATAAACCTCAGGAAGTGAGCGAAGATTGCCTCCAGCTTCTCCTGTCTGTCCTTCATGGCTTTCTCGTCCTTCAGTTCCTTGTAAGCCTATGCATAGAAGAGGAGAATCATTAGAACATTTTCTTCGGGTGCTAGGTGCCAGGTGCTAAACACAGGCAGACCAGGTTTGAATCCTTTGTCATGTCATTGTTCTTTCTGTTGAGGACTCAAGAAAAAATCCTCACTTCTATTGTGAATGGTGATTGTGCTAGCCATGTGGCCCACAATCTTCAGGGTCAAGATTCCCCTGCTCTACACCGCCTTGAAACGTGGGGAAATACACGCAGCAAGGTCAGGGGTTAATGTATGCAAGTTTACAAACGCTATAACAGTTGACATGTTCAAACACAGAGACAGTAAATACAGTAGTGTACGACGATACACTTCCTTAAACTATGACACAGAAGATTGTATCAGTTGTTGAGAAAATCCTGACCACAAATGACAGCGTCGTCTACTCTTTAGTTTTCAAATGTTGTATAACTTCTCAACCAACAGGCTCCTAGTTGTCCTATCCTTCACCTTCTGGCACAGCTCACATAAACATTCACAACTGTTCTAAATCTCTTCCTCATATCCTGTGACATCCCTTTATTTCTTTAGCGCTGTTCGCTCCAGAGCAAGGACATTCTACTTATAATACCATCAAGTTTTTACAATTCTAGTCCAGTTTAACATGTGCGCCGTTTCCTCTCCAATTGACTTACCGGAATTTGTTTAAATCTTGAAAAAAAAAAAGCTAGGCTCTCTAGCGTAGTTGGCTAAACCGGATTGCGCGGAGACTGGGTGACGAACTCCTTGTGGTCCGGGTTCAATCCCGGGGGTAGGCAGGAAAGCCACATTTCTCCCAGATTTACGGTATTTACAATGGAATCAAGGCCAAAAGGTTGCAATATCCATAATACCGAGCCTAGGGTTAACAACTCATGGCTTCTGGATACTAAAACAAACAAACGAACGAAAAATCTTTAAAAAAAAAAAAAATTAAATTATCACTCAATTAAACCGGGTAATTCTTCTGATTGTAGCGCACACAGGTAAAGAATGTTTACAGCTTATAACAATGGTTGTAAACCTTTTCAAAGAACGTAAAATGTAAACGATTAAGTTGGAGCAGTATCCTAGCATCTACGGACGTACCTGGAGTAGTGTGTGGGTAAATCAAAGGATAAATCACAATAGAATAGCAGAAACCTCACCGTGTGTTTGAACTCACCCTTATAGCGAAAAACAAGAATTTGTCATAGGATGGGTCCTTGTAGTTTCTCTGCTTGTCCAAGACATCCAGCGGGTTGTTGTTGTACAGGTGTTTGTGGAGGTAAGCAAAATACCGGTAGATAGGATGTTTGTCCTTCCACTCATCGTCATCGTCGTCATCATAATGGTGGTCATCATCGTCGTGATGGTCGTTGTGGAAGTCCCAGTCTGGGAAACTGTCGTCCTCCTCATGGCTGTCACTGGAGTGGGAGATCAGTCTCACCGACTTGTAGAGCTTCAGGAACAGTTCGAAATGTTTACCGTCGTCCTCGTAGTCTTTACCGCCAACTGTACAGTAAGAGAAGTAAACATCTTGAAGTTTAGTTAAACATATAAACGTATACTACATTCAACCAACGAGCGCAAAGTTTTATCAACAGAGATGAGGTGTCTCAGAAGATCTACACATGTAACAAGAAAAGATACAGTCGGCAATGAAGAAATTAGAAGAAGACTAGGCCTGAAACCAGTCACACAGTTTATTAAAGGGTAACAGATGATGTGGTTTGGTCAACTGGCGAGAATATCATAGTACCAGCTGAATGCGTTGAAGAAATATAATGCACCCACAGCAAGGGAAGACAACACAGTTAAGCAACAATGGTATCATAAAGAACCTTATAGAAATGAAGATCGGTTTATGCAACGACTTAGAGAAAGCAGAGAACACGTTCTTGTATAATCTGCCTCCAACACTTTGATGGAGTTAGAGGACAACAAGAGGAGATGAAAAAGGAAGTTACACATATCTGCATGATTTGCACAAAATATTTTATATAGTAGCTTCAAAAACTGTTTCGTAATTCGTTACATTAATATGCCATGAAACATTTTGACATTCAGTTTGCTTTCCTCGACTATTAGTAAGCACGTGATAAACTCTACGTGGGCTGAAGATCATGTTTCACAAATGAGTGTTTTAAATTTCTGGACTGACAAACTAGGTAACCTAATTTTCTGAAAGAAGCTAAATTGGAGAGATCAGCAAAATAGATGTGAACAAGAGGCTGTTATCATTTGTGCCCATATGTTAAAAAGTCAGTTACTGTAGCTTGTGACAACTGGACACATTTATGGAAATAGAGGCAAACAAAACAAAGATAGAATATTTTTGACAGCTTTTCATATCACATAAAAGAGATTCAGTCCACAAACAAATATATTCTGTTGCAAATTACAATTTGTTGGAGGAAGGGGGATGTTTGCTAAGGTTAGTCTGATAATAATACCATTAATGGTAAAACTGCACAGCCGACACAATCAAGATATGACCAATATAGTATAGTATGCTGAATGTCAGTTTTAAGCATAGTTTCCTACTGATTTAATTTGATTTGCAAAGACTAATAAAAAAAAAAAAAAAAAGGTTGAAAGGTTGAAAATCATAAATATCGACCTAATTGTGTTGGGTTTAATCAGGTTCGGCCTGTCTCTCTCCACAAAAGGGTCAGATGCACAAGCATAAACCACACTCTTCGTAACTTTTGCACAATCCTCTTATAAGATGACTGTCACACACGGTTTTGACAGTTTGTTGTGCGAAAGATGAAACACAATCAAGCATGACCAAATCCATGACCAAATCCATGACCAAATCCATGACCAAATCCATGACCAAATCCATGACCAAATCCATGACCAAATCCATGACCAAATCCATGACCAAATCCATGACCAAATCCATGACCAAATCCATGACCAAATCCATGACCAAATCCATGACCAAATCCATGACCAAATCCATGACCAAATCCATGACCAAATCCATGACCAAATCCCTATTATGTGAAATCTGACTAGGACACTGCTGTTGCTAAGGTGTCACTTTGACCCCTATCAGAAAATTTAACAGTGAGGGTTGGTAGCTGCAAGAAAGTCTGCCCCAGGTTTTCAGATTATTCTCAGCTGGCACTGTGGCGATTATTTTTAAGACGTCCATAATATACTTTAAGATCACTTCACCAATCTTCTTCTTCTTCAGCATTTCAAGCCCTTGAGGTTCATTGCTGCAGATATCACCTGCCTCCATTCATCTCCCTGGTTGGTCTTCTCTTTTCAGTTGATGACACCAAGACACCAATAACGACAGCAAAATAGTGTATATTTGTTTTCTTCTTCTTTTGTTGTCTCACTGTTACCAGGCTAAAGCCCGGCATGTAAGGGCCTGCTCAGGCGCTCGGCACTGCAGTCAGCAGTATTAAAGTTGGCAAGCTTCTCTTCAGAGATGTTAAAAGTGAAATTTAAGTAACCTGCCAATAACCCGTAGAGCACCTAGGTCAACCCCACATCTTCGTGGTGCACGCCTGAAAACAGACGCTGCAAGTTTCAGTCTAAGGGGAGCAATGGCTCGGCTGGAAACAGACGGGCACCAACCTGGTCAGATTGTTCCCTGTTCCGCCATGCGACGTGCCTAGCAAGCCGGCAGTGGTGTATTTGACTGCTACTACTCAACGAACATTGAATAATTACAAGAGTGTATACTTGAAAAAATATTTAAATACAAAAAGTGAAATAAAAAATGCTGGCGCAGAAAGCAAGAGAGATTGACAACAACAACAACAACAACAACAACAACAACAACAACAACAACAACAACAAACAGCAACGCACCCATGCTGAAGCATTGCTTGAATTCTCCAGATCTGTAGGCATCGAAGTCGTGGTAGTCGTCCTTGTCGCACTGCTCATGGTAGAAGCACTTCTTGAAGGAGTCAAACTTGGGCTTCAGCTTCAGCTGTTGTCCGCAGTAACAGCAGAGAAGACACATATATTTAGATCTGCATTCGTTTGTTTGCTTACCTGCCTAAGCAGCTATTCAGTTTTAATGCAATACCGATGTCGTTTATTTGGTGATGACTCAAAATAAAGAATAGGAATCATGCTATTTATTTCATTTTCAGGCCTTGAATATGGGGGTAAATAAAACATTAAAGATAACCCCATACTCAGAGGTTAAGGCAAACAAAGAAGATCACTATAAAACAACTAATGGAGACACCAGATGTAGGAGACACCGGATGTAGGAGACACTGAATGTAGGAGACATCGGATGTAGGAGGAACATTGGACGTGAAAATTTATTAAATAGAGCAGATGCAGTGGGGCTGAGTTGTGAGATAGAAGAGAGGCTGTGTGACTGAGTTGTGAGATTGAAGAGAGGCTGTGTGACTGAGTTGTGAGATAGAAGAGAGGCTGTGTGACTGAGTTGTGAGATAAAGGAGACGCTGTGTGACTGAGTTGTGACACAGAAGAGAGGCTGAGGGATTGAGTTGTGACATAGAAGAGAGGCTGTGGGATTGAGTTGTGAGATAGAGGAGAGGCTGAGGGATTGAGTTGTGAGATAGAGGAGAGGCTGTGGGACTGAGTTGTGAGATAGAGGAGAGGCTGTGGGACTGAGTTGTGAGATAGAAGAGAGGCTGTGGGACTGAGTTGTGACATAGAAGAGAGGCTGAGGGATTGAGTTGTGACATAGAAGAGAGGCTGAGGGATTGAGTTGTGAGATAGAGGAAAGGCAGTGGGACTGAGTTGTGAGATAGAGGAAAGGCAGTGTGACTGAGTTGTGAGATAGAGGAAAGGCAGTGTGACTGAGTTGTGAGATAGAGGAAAGGCTGTGGGACTGAGTTGTGAGATAGAGGAAAGGCTGTGGGACTGAGTTGTGAGACAGAGGAGAGGCTGTGGGAATGAGTTGTGAGATGGAAGAGAGGCTGTGGGACTGAGTTGTGAGATAGATGAGAGGCTGTGGGACTGAGTTGTGAGATAGAAGAGAGGCTGTGGGACTGAGTTGTGAGATGGAAGAGAGGCTGTGGGACTGAGTTGTGAGATGGAAGAGAGGCTGTGGGATTGAGTTGTGAGACAGAGGAGAGGCTGTGGGAATGGGTTGTGAGATGGAAGAAAGGCTGTGAGATTGAGTTGTGAGACAGAGGAGAGGCTGTGGGAATGAGTTGTGAGATGGAAGAGAGGCTGTGGGACTGAGTTGTGAGATAGAGGAAAGGCAGTGTGACTGAGTTGTGAGATAGAGGAAAGGCAGTGTGACTGAGTTGTGAGATAGAGGAAAGGCTGTGGGACTGAGTTGTGAGATAGAGGAAAGGCAGTGTGACTGAGTTGTGAGATAGAGGAAAGGCAGTGTGACTGAGTTGTGAGAGAGAGGAAAGGCTGTGGGACTGAGTTGTGAGATAGAGGAAAGGCAGTGTGACTGAGTTGTGAGATAGAGGAAAGGCAGTGTGACTGAGTTGTGAGATAGAGGAAAGGCTGTGGGACTGAGTTGTGAGATAGAGGAAAGGCTGTGGGACTGAGTTGTGAGATAGAGGAAAGGCTGTGTGACTGAGTTGTGAGATAGAGGAAAGGCTGTGTGACTGAGTTGTGAGATAGAGGAAAGGCAGTGTGACTGAGTTGGGATATGGAAGAGAGGCTGCAGGACTGAGTTATTAGATGGAGGAGATGCTGTATGACTGAGTTGTTAGATGGAGGAGATGCAGTGGGACTGAGTTGTGACATAGAGGAGAGGCTGTGTGACTGAGTTGTGAGATGGAAGAGGGGCTGTGTGACTGAGTTGTGAAATAGAGGTATGCAGTTTAACTAAGTTGTGAGATGGAAGAGAGGCTGTGGGAATAAATTTCTTTATTTCAGGTTGTAATGGGAGCGACGTTCTGCCAAGGACCTCTTACATAATGATGTTTATGATGATTATGATGATTTGTTATCAAATCTAGTAATGATATAACGTCTTACGTCAACAAACTTGGAGAATTTTTCAGCTATATCATGTTGAACCCTCGTCTTCTCTACAAAGGAAACCAGCTCTGAGAATAAAGCGAATTGTTTTCTGGCTTTCTCCTGCAAAAATAAATAACAGCCACGCGTTGGCATTTTGTAACCATGGATACAACATGTACAAGGCAACACAAAAAAATTGGTCATCTTACCCATAATTTAAATATGGATCTCCTGCATGAGAACATCGTGCTCTTAAGAGCAGCCGACAGATAGTTGTTTGTCATAGTCTCATGTTCGCCGACGACAGGCAGAAGATCACAATAAGGTAACAACGATGACACTCACATGATCTGTGTGGTCACCGCCAACAAGACAAGCAATAACAAACTGCCTTCTCCAAGACGCCAAGAAAAGCCACGGTTTCAGAATTCACAACACTTCAGATAAATGGTGCTAATGGTTGAGTCATGCGCATGATGTGACTCCATACTGTCATTAGGCCCCAGTGTGCAAAACATCATGTACACATATATGTGCATGTGAAGAAGTAAAAGCTTTCATAATTAGTGCATAATCGGAAAATTGTTATGTACGTATGTATGAAGGTCTCGAACTCACCTCCTTATGTTTGACGATGCGCTCTATCTCCTTCTGAGCCTGGTAGTGGGCCCTGAACTTCAAATAGTACATGAAGAGCTTCTTGGTCTTTTCCTCCTTGAGGTCGTCGTCATACCTGTAATGGAAGTCATCTTCGTCGAAGTAATCGTCCCATTCATCACTGTCGTCATGGTGATCCGAGTCGTAGTGCCTCAAGTCGTAGTCGTGTTTACCTCCCCTGTAACGCTTGCTCAAGACACCCTGAAAGAAGACAATTCAGTCGAAACGTGGGTTCTGTAAACTGTATAGACCAGTGTTTCCCAAACTTTCTTTGTCGCGGCTCCTTTTTTAATTAAAATTTACCACAGCGCCCTAACCTAAGTAAAAGTATGACTATTCGTATGTCCGACCTCCCCAGGACTCCGCGGCGCACAGTTTGGGAATCACTGGTATAGACTGTTCTTAATTCTCAACGCTTTGAAAATAATCTCGTTCCTTTGATTGCTCGTTCTTACCGTTTCAGGAAAAATAAAATTCCTTAGCCATATTAAACAACATACTGGTTTGGAAAGATCAGTAGTAGAGGGTTTGGCTTTTGGAAGAAAAGGCACATGTCAACCAGCTTGACGATGAATACAGGCTATCAAGATCGCTCTAGGCATGAGAGTTTATTAGGCAGGAAAGCTGGCAAAGGATCGAGTCTTCTGGGCGTGCCATGATAAGAGCGACCCCTCTTCACAATGACCTGCATCACGACGCTGATAATTATTCACCTTCTTGCTCGCTTCCTCGAGTGTTGACGGAGACACAAGTTTCTGCTTCTTCGACCAAAGATGCGATGGGCTTTTGTAGAGTTTCTCTGATATTGTCTTTCCATTTTGTACTTGGTCTATCTTGTGCTTTGCGACCTTCTTGGATTTTTGGTGCCCGCCTTCTATTGTATGACGTCACAAGGCATTCTGTCCAAGTAGGCAGACTATTTGATTTGTTCTCTTTACATGTGATTTAGAATACGTTTTGTGCCGACTTTTTCTCTTATGACATCAGCCCCGATGTTATCCCTTCTAGTTCCTCATAAAGCCCTTCTCAGACATCTCATTTCCTGGTAGCATAAAGTGGGAATAAATAGGCTTTATATGATATGTTTCGTCTGGATTGTCTTATGTTGCAATTGAGACATCACAAAAGCGATAAACACCCGATGACACAAAGTGCCACCATGCGGATGAAGATCACCCGTGGCGAGGTCCCAGAAACCGCGTTCAGCCATTAGACCATATTTATGGTCAGGCTACATTGCGGCCCCTGGAAAGAGCCCGAGTAGGGCTTCAAATAACGGAAAATTGCATCTCACAAGGAGATGACTTGAATGTTACATCAATGGCGGACAACTGTGATCGATGAATGAATGTTACACGACAGGTTAGCATATTACAGAAAATCAACCCTACCCTGAGGAATGTCTTGTAGAGCCTGCTGAGTGAGACGCTGTCAAACTCCGCACTCCTCAGAGATTTGGTGATGGTCAGAAAGAGGTGGAACTTCTGATCGCGGTAGCTATCCGTGTCGTAGTAGTCGTCGTACTTGTCGTCCAGCCAGTCCAAATAATCGTCGTTTCTTCCATCAACCTGGAATCAAAAATTTGTGGGTATGAATTTTGAAAGGAAAGAAAGTGGCAATTTGCTAAATCATACTGGGTATTCGTGGGCAGCCGTGGTTTAGCGGCTAAAAGCGCGCCTACGGATCGAAAAGTCGTAAGTTCGATTCCTGATGGGGGCCAGATGTTTTTAAAAATGACCTTGGCTATCAAATCGACCCAGCCTTGAGTGGGGACCAGGTACAGTCCTGGGAAGTAAAAGCAGCAGGCGTGATGCTGACCACATCAGCCACAAAGTGCCGTTTGGTCTAAATATAAAGGTCTAGTCCTATATACCCAAGACACCTAAAGGCGTGGAAAAGGGGTCTTTTACTTACATCGGGGTATTCGAACGGATTTTCAAGCTATATTCCCCACGCTCTAATCGTCACGGACAAGCTTTAGACAGCCTTGTTAGGCTCAGGAGTTCAATAGTTAGGAGACCCCCCGTGGTTTCGCTGGAAATAAGGAGTTCCCTTTTTTTCGAATGCGGTCTGCCTTGAGGAAAGAGACACAGCAAGACGGATACCGCATGGTGCAGTTAGATCTATCTTAGCACCTGAAATCGCCCTTTCACTTTAGTAAGGATATTCAACAGCATATGTCCAGTGTTATCTTCTGTTTTACTTAGAGGGAAGGCAACAGGAACATAGACTGCTGTTGAAGGCACTGAACTGGATCTCTGCGCTGACTGCCTAACTATGTCAGTACCAAGCGACTCGCAGTGCGTTAGCTGGTTACTCTTGTCATGATATGATTGTCTGATCCCTGTATTTCTCATCTGGTAAACTACCTAACTCTATCCCAAAGTCTTTGAAACTGATGTGGTCAGAGAGTGTGATTATTTCAACCTGATCTCTGTCTGACTGTAAGTTACACATGGTTGTGGTAGTTCCAGTTACATGAATGGTTGTCATGGACTGACAGAGTAAAGACGATAACCGATCGATTATGGGAATGGGAAGTCGGGTCATAACTCAACTCAGCTCAACTAAAAAGTGTTTAACTTAGAGAGGTTCAATTTCACTGCACCAGGTATGATCCCATAGGGCTCAATCTCTCCCAAAGAGGGAGAGCTGACCCATCGCTGGAGTCCAACAATTCGCTGTCATCCAGTGTCAACAGACACACTGAGATTACCGGGCAACTGAAGGGAGTTGTCCTGAACCAAACTCTCAGACTCTCAGGTGGGTGTTCAGGTCACATTTTATTGTTTGGGGAGTGGGATGGGGGGGGGGGGGGGGGGTGTAGATTAACTGGCTCTTAAAAGTATGTGACTTATTATCTGTGTGATGAAATCTTGAGTTTCTCTACTAAAAAGTGAGAATATCGCAGCCTAGCTGTAAACCTTAAAACAACGTTCTAACCGTTCTTTAAACAGCGAACGCCGAAGAAGAAGAAATCAATCAAATAACAGAAAGCAGAAGAAAACACTCGTACAGACACCGATGGTAAAACACATTCCACATTCTCAGAGATTGGTCAGCTAAAATACAATCTGTAGTCACGGATGAACGAGAACAATGATTACCTGGTGGTCGAACCAGTCATCCGTGTCATAGCTGTCTGGGCTAGGTCTGGCGCTGACAGCAACAACAGCAACAACCACAACCAACGACAGCAACGACATCAGGCTCTTGGACAGCATCTGTGGTGGATTAGGGGAAGAGAGGGTGGGGGGGGGGGGAATATCTTTACTGTGTTTCTTAAACTTCTCTTAGTCGCGGCGCCTTTTTTTTAAATAGTTTGCCCATAGCGCCCTAACCTAAATAAAAGTATGACTATTCGTATGTAAGAGATTAGAAAAAAAAAAAAAAAACGTGTGTATCTCCAAATATTTCGCGGCGCCCCTTTGAAGAGGTCGCGCTCTCTGGGCTCCGCGGCGCATAGTTTAGGAATCGCTGGTCTATAACATTTTTATTTCGTGTACAGGTTGATTTTCACAAATCCGGCCATCGATAATCTGGTTCACAGCATTTTTAAATTTACCGCGTGGCGTGCCACTATTTTTGTGCAGGCGCCGTTTATGTTGTGATGGCGCCGTTTATGTTGTGATGGCGCCGTTTATGTTGTAATGGGCCCGGCTCTCTAGCGTAGTTGGCTAAACCGAATTGCGCGGTGACCGGGTGACGAACTCCTTGTGGTCCGGGTTCACTCCCGGGGCTAGGCAGGAAAGCCACATTTCTCCCAGATTTACGGTATTTACAATGGAATCAAGGCTGAAAGGTTGCGATATCCATAATACAGAGCCTAAGGGTTAACAACTCATGGCTTCTGGACACTAAAACGAACAAACAAGTTGCGATGGCGCCGTATATGTTGCGATGGCGCCGTATATGTTGTGATGGCGCCGCTTATGTTGTGACGGTGCCGTACTCCAAAATCAGGTGTTAGATTTTGCTTGCACGTGCCTGAAGGCATTGCTGTTTTTGCTTTTCATTTTATTATTTATTCGCTTAAGTGTATCTAACTTGCGCATGCAAATAGTAGTGGGGGGAGCCTCAGCCCCACCCCGTCCCAAACATTTGTAGGTGGAATGTACTGAAGGTTCTGCAACAGTGAAGTACAAGGCTTTTCTTACATCTTCAGGCGTAATAGGCAAATTGGGCTGTATTTTATAGAGCAATCGGCACTTGGTGTGTGATGTGGTCAGCATCACCACTGTTGGCGACTGGGTCGACGTGGGGTCAAGGTAATTAAAAAAACAAAAAACTAGTACTGTCAGTACCCGAACCAACGACCTACCAATGTGCAGGCAAGCGGCTAGCCGCTACACCAAGGTGGCTACCGAATGTTCTATACTCCATGTTGATTACGAAAACCGGTATTGTAAGGCAATACTGCATAAGTACACGCCATTTCAAAGGTAATCGGCAAATGTGTATCTGTATATACGTTTTAACCCAAACAGTCATTTAGCCCGCATGGCTTCAGCGGTGGTAGCAAAATGTTTATAACCACCAAGTTAATGACTCATTTTCGTGACAAAATATTGCATTCCCTGCTTCTTTTAGGGCCTACTAAATGCAATCATTGCAGTTAGCATTAGGCCGTAGAAAGCATTTGATGCAACACATAGTGTTAGAGAGGTGATGTCACTTTTTTAACGCTGTCGTCTTAAAATTGTGGCCACCCCAGTACTGATAGTTCTGGCCAGAACTTGCTCACTGAACTCTTTGAATATCGAACCTTTTTTTTTTAAATAATAAATTATTTTCAAGCGATTCTTTCATAAAACTAGTAAATGTTATGATGAAGTGAGCTCTAGCGATAACTATACTTGTTACAAAGGTTAGTTGCGTATCCTTTACAGGACGTTGCAGAAACAACCCCAGAAGCCCATGGCTGTTGTGTGGTTTCTCTAGGCACATTTACGTCCAGTAGTTTGCCACTGCTTTCTAGACGGTCAGTCCCCTAATACCACTGTCGAAACAAACGCAAGGCGCATGGCCCGCAGCTGGGATGGAACCCGGCACCCCGGCATTACGAAAGCGTTCGCATCGAGTTAGCCACAGAGCCGACACTTGTTAGAAGCATTGGAGTAATTACTAGGGTAGATTGGTTCAGCGTAAAAACGACAGTTACCTTACTCAACCAATGTAGACAATTCATATCATATTTGAAGTTACTAATAAATGACTGGTGGGAGCCGGCATGATCTAACGGCTAGACGCTCAACTACTGGTCCGTAGGTGGTGGGTTCGAGATCCTGAATGAGAGAACGTCATTTTTCAAAAATTGACCTTGGCTAAAAGGTCGACGTGTTGACCACCCACCCATATTATTTCCCCTGGTGAGTTCCATGTATAATCTTGGGAGGACAAAGGTGGACGTCGTGTTGTTGGCCACATCACCCACCATGTACCATTGGTCTAGCCCTATATGCCCAATTCACCAAAAGGCATAGAAGAGCCCATTGTTTCAATAAATGCCTAGTGAGTAAGCTAGTAGCGAATGATTTAAGGCAGTATTTCAAAGTTATCGAGACTTGATTCCCCGTGTGTTTTAAACAGTACCCTCACCCGGGTATAGAGCTGCTTGCTGCTGACTGACTTACCTTGGGTGGCCACAGATCTCGGATACGTCTCGTCATCAACACCATGTCTGCTTTTATAGGCTTCACATCTGTGACTGGTTACAGAATACCGTTAGCTAGTCATCGTGATCGTGTTACCACCGGGACAAGTGATTTGACCAGCTTTTGTCAGTTACATTTACATGGGTAAACACAATTAGGGGTTGAACTCCGAGGCAGCAGAAAGCAAATCAAACAACAGTGATCGACTTGAGTCGGAGAATTGAGACACCAGCTGCAGATGCGGCTGCACATGCCAGCTAACTACGTTGATCAACATTGTCGCTTCGTCAGCACAAAAAAAAAAAGGCATCTGTTGTGGCAAGCCAACACAAAATGACGCATTTCTGACACGACGATGAAGTGTTCTTTTGTTTGTTATGCCTTAATGAATAGGAATGTCAACTAACTGAAGATTGCACAAGAGATATTGCATGAGTTCAAGACTGTTGACCTCTTCTTGTTTTCTGTTGCACATTCCTATTGTGGTTAACTTGGTTCAGCGTTCAAGCTTTCTATTTAAAAAATGTAAATATCTTTATTGTCATCGTCATCCTCCTTGTCCACTTCTGCCTTTAAGCAGCGTGGGGAGGAACAGTTTGGGATCCATTGCTGGGATGAATTTAAAAAAAAATGAAGATTAGACCAAAGCTTGTAAATTATTTCCTTGTTCCTTTGTTGTGAGCAGTCAGTTCTCTTCGTGAATTCATTTCTTTCTAGACATCTTCATTGTTCGTTTAATCTCTTCATCGTGTTCCGATCATTTGTCGATACACATAACTGTCAGCCGCTACAACAATAATTTTCTCTAATCGGTCAAATGCCCATGATTCATTTCTGTATATCAAGATATAGTCGGCTCTGTGGCTAAACCGATACGAACGCTTCGTAATGCCGGGATGCCGGGTTCGATCCCAGCAGCGGGCCTTGCACCTTGCGTTGGTTTCGACAGTGTTATCAAGAAAGCCGACCGCCCAGGAAGAAATGGCAAACTACTGGACGTAAATTTGCCTAGAAAAACCAAACAACAGCCCCTGTTTGGGGTTGGTTCTGCAACGTCCTGTAAAGGATACGCAACTAACCATATCAAGATATACCCAAGAACTCTCCTCCTTACACCAGTTGACAAAGAAAGTAAAATAGAATAATCTTTATTTGACGACATGCTGCCTATGCCTGGGCTATTATACATCTAATTTCTTTAACACATCTTCCATCTGCTGTTATCAAGGTTGCCAATATTATTACTTGCTTGAGAAGTGACCCATTGACTGTGATGTATTTGTGTGTGTGTGAAAAAAAGAGAGGGGGGGGGGGAATCCTCTTTGTAATTATCATTACTTCTATTTTGATATACTTATTTATTATTTTGCTGTCAAAACTAAATCCTTTGTTTTTTATGCTACAATTATTATTTCCTTTTTTCCTGCGATCAAGACAGTCGAGGTGTTTACAATCTTGCTCTATTGGGTCTTTTAGTCTCCACAGCTTAGTCCATATTTGCTGCGGGATTAGAGCGTCTATGAGTGGAGTATGTCCTGTCTGCTATAATGCTGAACAGCAAATGAAAACAGATATGTCTTCAACTGTCGTGTCTGAGGTGCAGAACTATGTCAGTAGACCAGTCTCCTGGAGAATATGCTGTTGTAACCTTTCATTGTTTGCACACACGCTTAGGGACAAGGTCCGGCCTGGAACCTGTAACCTAGGTGGCGCCCCTGATTTTAAAATTGTAACATAAAACACTTGGCGTTGAACAATGCTCGCACAGTCCTGAAGACTCTACATATGAGAGGAATAATGATATAAGAATAATTCAGATGACGAGAACAAGGAGGAGATGGGGACAGCAGTGAAGGAAGAGGAAGACGAGCAAGGGGGATAACAAAAGTCTTGAAAATGTAGTGTTGTGTTGCAGACTGTTTTGGCTAATCGGTAATTCTTTCACTCCTCACAAAAAATGCTTGTCCATAACTGACAGTACTCATCATACTTCAGTGAATAATGCGCCACACAATATGTAAAGCTGTGACTACGTGTTGTCTTCAACCATTACATTCCTTCAATATGCCGAGTTGCAATTATACCCCGCATAGGGCTTGCCGTCGTGTCTTCAATTACGTTTAGTACTGTGTCTAGGGCTTGCCGTCTTGTCTTCAGTTTCGTTTAATACTGTGTTTAGGGCTTGCCGTCTTGTCTTCAGTTACATTTAATACTGTGTTTAGGGCTTGCTGACTTGTCTTCAATTACGTTTAATACTGTGTTTAGGGCTTGCCGTCTTGTCTTCAGTTACATTTAATACTGTGTTTAGGGCTTGCTGACTTGTCTTCAATTACGTTTAATACTGTGTTTAGGGCTTGCCGTCTTGTCTTCAGTTACGTTTAATACCGTGTCTACAGCTTGTCGTCTTGTCTTCAGTTACATTTAATACTGTGTCTAGGGCTTGCTGACTTGTCTTCAGTTACGTTTATTACTGTGTTTAGGGCTAGTTGTCTTGTCTTCAGTTACGTTTAATACTGTGTCTAGGGCTTGCTGACTTGTCTTCAGTTACGTTTATTACTGTGTTTAGGGCT